AATTTCTTGAAAGAAATGATTACGTTTTTGGGATGTGACAGTTCCACTGAAATTTCGAGGAATTTCGGCGTTTAAGATTCATAATTTGGTGGAAAAATTAATGAAAATTCTGGAAATTGGTAGGAATTTTTTATGAAGTGATAATTCGACTGAAATGTCAAGGAATTTCAAGGAAAAATCAATGAGAACTGTAATATTCAATTTTATTATCCAAGGAGAATGAATTAGAAATCAGAAAAATTTAGATAAATATATCCTTGAAGTTTAAATTCATTGAAAATTCAAGTGAGTTGAGCAATTTTTTTTTTTGCGGTTTAAAAATTTAGAATTCCGTGGATTTTTATTTTTTTTGCAATGTTCGTGAGAAAAATAATATTCTGAATTAGGGAATTTGAAAATTTGCATTTGAAAGATGTGAGACACAATCATTTGTCTAAAATACACTTTTGAAAATTGTATTTTTTTATAAAATTTCTGGTAAACTTCTTAGAATTTTTTATCAAGTGATAATTCTTCTGAAATTTCAAGGAATTTCGTAATTGAAAATTCACAATTTGGGGAAAAAATCAATGGGAAATGTAAATTTAAATTCAATTATTCCATGAGAATAAATGGAAATTTAAAAAATTCAGATAAATATATTTTTGAAGCGTCACCTCCATAGAATTTTCAGGAGAATTCGAGATTCCATTATTTTGTTTTCCTAAATCGAATTCAATCCCATGTATTTTCAAATTTCTTTTGCAACGTTAGCGTGAAAAATAATATTATGAATTAGGGAATTTGGAAATTTGTGTTTTGAAAATGTGAGACACAATTATGTGCCTAAAATCCACTATTGAATATTGTATTTTTTGCCGAAATTCTTCTAAATTTTTTCATTCAAAATTCCCAATTTGGTGAAAAATAAATGCAAACTAAAAATTTCAGTTGAATTACGTCATGAAAATTAATAAAAATCAGGAAAATTCAGGTGAATATATTCTTGAATTTTCAATTAATGAAAAATTCCATTTAATTTTACAATCCAAAATTTCATGATTTTACTTTGAAGAAATGAAAAAAAATGAAAATTGTATTTAAATAAAAAACAATTCCATTATGATAATTAACAAAAGCATTATCATTCCTAATTAATAACCAATTCACCTTTTTTGCAACTTCTCCCCTACATTATCTTGATTTTCCCAATCATAATGAAAAAATTTCGTACTTCCGTTTTAATTCCGAGCATCAGAGGCTATTCTCCAACGAATCAAACAAAATATCAATTCCGACAGATAACAGTGACAGTAATGACCGTAGAGACTAGATTCTACATTAAGTCATAGATTATAGACGAGTATTTTCATAATTCTTTATCGTCTCTATCGGTACACTAGAATGTGTGTCTCACCAGGGCTATCCCGTCCGTCGGGGATGGGACCAAAAGGGTGGTTTATTCAGCGTTGAACTATGCCTCAGATTCTCATCAGAGACTTAATTATGCAAATAAGGGCAAACCTCTCGCATCCCAGCCCGGGGGACTCTGGGATAATCACGATGGATGCAACATTTGTTTTTTCTTTTTTTTTACACATTTTTCAAAGACATGCGGTAGTGATCGAGTTGATATGAGATAACGTTTCGATGTTTCATCTCGGGTTATCTCGTCTTAAATGGTAATTCTTAATGCTAATAGGCGCTGCTAAAAATCGATATTTATGTTGCTCAGGGTCTCATTTACGTCCGGTGAAATTATCACGTGTTTGAAAAATTTAATAGGAAAAGCTGACAAATTGTATGGAAAATTCCATTTTTTTTTCATGTCGAATTTAAATGAGATATTTTTTTATAGAAAAAATTGAAGGGGTGTTGACTTTTTAATAAAAATTCTTGATCATGAAATTTCCGAATTTTTGAAAAGGTTTAAAATGAGAAACAAAAATATGCAGCAGGCAGAACTCGAGTAATTTTTAGATGTTTTTTTTGGAGAGAAAAAACAGGAAATGTAGTTTTTCTATAAAAATTCTTGAGCATGAATTTTACAACTTTTTGAAAATATTTTTTGGATGAAAAATAAAAGAAGATACTGTGGACAAGCATGAAAAATTTCTAAAGAGAATAATACTTGTAAATTTTCCGTATTAAATTTTTCACGTGAAAAGTTGTAGCTTTCGATGCATCGTGAAGTGGTACATGAATATGAAAACTTGCATTGAAGTTAAATCCAAAAGATTGAAATAAAACACTATTTTCACCACAAAAAAAATAAAAAGCGAGAAATAATTAATCAATCAATGAAATTGATGACAATTCATTTACTTTTCATGCTGATTTCAAATATCTATTTTTTTCGATGGAAAAAAAGCAAGAGATTTTGATTTTTCTATCAGAATTCTTGAGTCTGACTTTGTCAAATTTTTTTTTGACGAGAAAATAAAAAATGACAGCAATGAAAAAACTTGGAACATTTTTTTGCTGAAAATTCGAAAAAAAAATTCCAAGAGAATAATTTATCTGTATTTTTTCTATTAAATTTTTCATACGTAAAAGTTTTCTAATTTTCAACGCACCGTGAAGAGGTACATGAATAACAAAACTTTCAGTAAAATAAAGTCCAAAATCTGACATGACATGAATACTTCCACCCCCAAAATAAAAAAAGCCAGATAATTAATCAATCAATAACATTGATGTATCAGATGTCCCCACCCCGCTTATCCATAAATGTAATCTCAAAGTTAGGCAGTGATGAAAAATGATGTTGAGAAGACCTCGTAAACGTCTCAATCCTCGGTATTTTCCATTCAGTCTCGACCGAAAAAAAACAATCAGTCCAATGGATTTTTTCATTCGCATGTGATAAACGATCATTAGCAGCCCGGACCCTTATGTTTACTTATCGTTAGCTATGTTTTTTGTTATCATTAACCAGTCACAAAAATAAATATTTCATATTGTTTTACGTGTACGTGTTTACACCCTAAGAGAAAAGCCCATCACGGCCGAGCGATAATTAACGTTCTCGTATCGAGTTTTTCATCAACATTTTTTTTGTTATGGCTGCCCAGGTTACCTCAAAATACATGGAATTCGTTGGATAATTGAGGATATCCTAGGGGATCTCCTGAAAAATTACAGTTGAGATTTTTCTATTCATTTTAGGAAAATTATTTTAATTATATGAAATGAGTAATTAGTTAATTTCCAATAAACGATTTATTTGACTCAAGTAATCATTATTTAATGCAAATAAACCATTTCTCTGGGTGTAATAAAAAAATAATGAGTTGAAAGCGTCATTAAAAAAAATAAGTTCAATATTTTTTTATCCAATTCTCATATTTCATCATTTTGTTCAAGAAAAAAAATCGTGCAACCGACCAATTCCTCATTCATCACCTCAAAACTATAATTTTCGGCCATCCCATTTAGATCCCCAACGCCACACCTCCCCTCCCCCCCAATTTTCATATCCTCGCATATTAAACAAAAATATTGACGCGTGAAATTTATCGACAAAGAATCCCTGATGCATGGTTATGCTGGTTGTCACAATATTTTCTGCCACTTCAACACCCATTCCCTTCCTCGAGTGTACACAAATATTTTTGTACCATACGTGGTGAACGATATCAACGGTGATATGCAATAGACAATTTTTTTGTTCCATTTCCCGAATTCTTTTCTACCTCATGAAAAAAAAAATATATGTTTATTTTGTATGAATATATCGTTGTCACGTATCGACAATTTACTTATCGTCAGATTTTCATGTAAATTTGTAATTTTCGGGGTGAAATAAAAACATCTTACACAGAGATAATTCTTTCGTTTGAGAACTTTGAAAGATTGAAATTTTTAAAGCGGCTCGTCTTTTTTTTTGTGGATGAATTCCCCGAAATTTTCTGGTGATTGCCATGATAGGAATTGTTTAATTCAAATATCTAATTTTTTTATAAATGAATGATAAGATGATCCGATGAATTATGGGAATCTGCACGTAATTTCTCATCTTCCGTCGACGGTTCTTGTCTTTGAGTATTGAATAACCGAAACGACGAGCAAATAACAATTTCCGTGAATCATTTCATAAAAATTTATCGCACTAAAAATGCAGCCGTTTGGTCCGTTTTGACATCAACCAAACATTTTTCGAGTACTGGAATTTTTTAAATAAATATTTGTGGTTTGATAATTATCAACGTGCGATATTTTAGCTTCCGAATGGAAGCATTGTATTCATCAAAACTTAAATTTCCAATTTTTTGTATTAGGATAATTAATTTTGGCCTCAGGAGTTCGAATATGCGATTTTAATACCATATCCGGCTGTATGTATGTGTGTGTGTGTATGTGATCGATGGTTTATCGACAATAACTGAAAAATAATTTTTTAAATTAATCCAATTGTGATTTAAAATACGCTTCCCAATGCCATCTTGACCGAGTTCGATCATGAGATTGATTGCATCATCTGTTGTTGAAAAAATTTATTTTGAAACCAATTTTCAGGGAAAGTTGAATTTTTTTTAAGTTGGCGCATTGTTGGCTGCCACCGTTGGTCCAATGTTGGCAACCAACATTGAGAAAATGCATTTTACGTAAATTTCTTTAGAAAATTTATTTTGAAACCAATTTTAAGGGAAAGATAGAAAATTTTAGCGTTGGGGCAATGTTGGCTGCCAGCTGTAATGTATTTGGGACTCGCTTCATGGTGAGAATGAGAAGTTTATGACAGGAAAGTTTTGAGAATTAGGTTTTAATTTTCTGTGTGAGAGAAATGAAGTAGTTTTGTGAATTTGGGTAAATTCAGGGAAATTCTCCTCGGGAATTTTTCGTCTAGACAGAATCATAGTGGAGACACAGTCATCACAAACCCTTGAGGCAATCTTGAATTCAATGAATCATTGAATTCAATTTAAAATACATCGTCAGAAATTCCAGTCGGAAGCAAATTGCTAATTTATTAGCAAAAATATATTGACTATGCTAGACGAAAACAATTTCCCACATGTTATTTCATGAATGAATTATCCATATATTTCAATCTCATCAAGTTTTCAAACTCAAAGTCAATACTCTCAATATCAAGACCAATGATCTACACAAATTCGAGAATAATTTTTCCCCGTGTAGATTCAATGGGATTCCCCAGCCTCACGATGTCATAAAATCTTGAGAAACTTCCATTCCATCAGCCGAAGAACAACTTCCGCTAGTTTCAGCTCCCGCAATCAAACTTTTGACCCTCCTTCCACCGAGTACAAGCATTCCAAAGGCTTCAGCCATTCTCAACAGTTACAACTCTCATTTTCCCTCTCGATGACTCGACGACGTGTTCTCTCCATCGTTCAGCCGTTGCTCCGTTCAAAGGACCAAAATTCCATCAATTGTTGGAAACACCACTGAAAGGCTAGTGTCCAACACTCTCCTCGTGGAGGTGAGTTTAAAAATATTTGAGCGTATTCAATTCAGAATGGACTTCATCAGGTCCATGGCGAGGGATTTTTCTTTGCCGCGTGTCAGAAGGCCGTGTCCAAGGCCGCCATTGACGTGGAGATTTCAGGATCGGCGCGACAGGCGTCCAAAAATTCGGTTAGGGTCACAACGCCGTCTTTATTCTCGTCCATTTTCTGAAAGCGAAGAGTCGAACAATGAATAAATAAATAAAAATTAATATTAATATTTTTTTTATTTTATGAATAATTGACTGGTAGTTTTCAAGAGAGTGACATTTAATTCAATTTAGAGGGGAAAAAATCCCAAAATTTAAGATTTCATTGGAAATTCCACATTTTTGAACAGCGGAAAGACGAGAGTTCCCCAAGTTTGAGTTAAATTAAGAACATCTGAATCTTAGCGTTAGTGCGCCACCTTGCGGTGGCGTCTCTGTATTAAAATAGTCATAACCTCCTTGATTCGCAGCCGATAACCGAAGAATTGTAAATATTGAAAGGTACAAGGATATTTACTAAATACTTTATCAAAATGAATAGAGACGATACAAATAAATATCAATAAATATGCGGAAATTTTAGCCTAAATTGTTCAACAGGGCAGCTAAGTTTTTCAATCAAGAATAGTCGAGTTATCAAATTAAGAACATCTGCATTTTTGAACTGATAACACTAGAATGGGATAAAGTCCAGGAGTAATTGAACACGAGTCAACATTAATTATGTCAAGGTGTTGCGTGATACACTTTTCATATTAGTAAAGGGTGGGGTAGAGTCGACAGTTCGTCATTGACCCAAAATTCCAAAATTTCTGTTTGTAAACAGAAGGTGGCCCAGAAAAAACTACCACGCACCGATTACGTGTCAAAATCCATGAAACTTGGGATTTTTTTCCGAGGCTGTTTTTTCCTCTGACCTATTTCTCACAGATTTAAAACAAAGATATCAAGAATTAAAGCTAGCCACAAGCCTTTTACCCTTGAATTTCAATTGAATCTTGAGATAAAATCGTTCACAGAATTTCTTCAAAATCAGTCGTTGTAAAAAATTTCAGGATTTTTTGTTTGAAATTTGAGCAGTTTTCATAGTATAGAATTATAAATTTCAGAGATATTTCCAACGAGAGTTGACATATGAGTAGATTAGTTTCAGAACAGGAAAATTCATCAGTTCAAGACCGAAAAACCCAAGAACTGCTTCCAGCCGAACGGCTCCACTGATGAACATTCCATTCCAACACATTTTCCCCTCACACCCCCGCAATTCCCTCAAAATCCCGTACCCCAATTCGCAAACATGCAAATTCACTCCGAATTAGAATCCGCGCCGCCCCTCCATGCCTCATTAATTCCATTCCCGAAAACAAAATAAAGCCCGAGGGCGCGCTCCGAAATATTTGGATCCATAACATTGACTGTGTACAGGACCACTCACAGGCCACCATCACCCATGTAAAATAATTATTTATTATTTCACCCGAAAAAAAATCCTCAAAAAGATGCAACAAAGGCGATTGAAGGAATTTTAATTACGTAAATTTCAACTTCATATTGCCTTTGAACCCATCATATTTCCAGAGGGAATAAATTAATATGTACTAGACCATCTGTGCACTTATGCTAAACAAAATAAACGAAATAGACATTTATAACAATATTTCTGTGATATTAAAACTGAAGGTGATAAATATGTCCATCCGTAAATAAATAATGATAATAATTTCTAGTCCTATGCTAGATTGATCTCGTGAAGATCTTGAGAGTTCTCAAAGGCAATATCTTCACGTTGTCTTGCTACGTTGGGGTTTTCTCTTAGGAGAATGCATGCCACGCTCTCCGAGGACGTTTCGGAGCGCTCGATTTCCAGCACGCGTTGCATAAGGAGCTCTTCGACCGCCGCCAAGGCGCGGAGGAAAGCGTAGGAGCGTTCATAGCAAATATGATTTAAAAAAAAAAGAATATAACGTCAAGTTATATTCAGCACGCGAAGGAATCGTAGCAAAATCTTTTCAATCTTTCGCATTTGATGGTTGAGTTCAGCTACTGCGCCAGCTGGCGGTGGCGTCTCTGTATTAAACTCGTCATAACCTCCCTGATTTGGAATGAAATGCGCAATGATATTCATTAAATATTAGATTGAAATCAATAACTAAAATAAAAATAAATGTCAAAAGGGAGAAAAGAAAAATAGTTGATTCTAGAGATGAAAATAGATATTCATAATAAGATTTTCGCCGGAAAAAAATTCTAAAAAATGAAACTAAGAACAAAGACAATCGAAGGAATTTGAATAATGCGAATTTCCAGCTTCATATCTCCTTTGAATGCGTCACATTCCCAGAGGGAATAAATTAATATGTACTGTACCATCTGTGCAATTTTACTAAACAAATGGCAGGAATAATTCCCCCCTCCACCGGGTGAATTTCAACGAATCGACGCTGCAAATCCTTTGTTCCATTTTTATTTCAAATTTTCTTTTCATTCTTTTTTCCATCCACCGAATGTGCAATATGCGGAATAATACTGGCTTCCGCTATCGAGTGCTGGATTACCCGGAACAATAGTAGAGATTATGATGGGGTTCACACTTTTTTCAGACTTTGAATTTCAATTGAAATGAGAGGGCTATTCACTGGATTGTATTCGGGGGATTCTCTGACGAGGCGAAAATTGGGATGAATCAATTTTCAGTTTCGTTACAGTGAGAATAAACAGAATGGGATGCATTGAAAACCAGAAAATGTATTCCAGTGGATGTTTATTCGTCTCCAATATATTCTGCTTTTTTCCAGTTGTATTTATTTACCGAGTGGTATTTTTCGTTGGAAAATTTAGCCCGTTGAGGTTAATGAGAGCGTAAAAACCTCATCCCTCATTCTTGTTGAGTGGATTTATTGAAACAATGGTGCGACGCGTTTTTAATTAAAATTCTCGTTTAAGTTTGAATGGGCTCGCTGCATTCTCCGGACTGTGAATCGTAATTTAATTTTCGATGAGTTGATTAATTAGCAGTGATTGCGTTTCGTTCGATTCATCTGCTTTTTTTAGTGAATAAAAGGTGCGAAGAGCCCTCATTGGAGTGGCAGTGCTCCAGAATTTAATATCATGGATGATGGAGTCGACTTCAGCTGATGAATGAATAGTGATTTTTTTTTAATATAGAAATGTGGGAAAGGTGATTCTAATATTGTTGTGGGGTTGTGAGAAGTATAATTGATAAGAAAGCATGAGTGACGCGAGTGATATGGCATTCAGTGTTTTTCTATTAATTCTAGAACGAAAAATGTTTATAGGGGTTGAGTGGAAGGCTTGCGTGGGGAGAATCGAGCTGATGGGAGAGATCAATCCGAGTTGAAGGGGAATCAACCAGAAAGGGGAGATTGGTCAACGCTGCAGAATCTATTATGTAACTTAGCGAGTCACTTTTTCTCCTTTGTTGGGTGTAATTTATGGTGGCAAGAGGTGAATTTTTATTGTGAAGAAGGTGCAATATCACATTATCTATAGCACGTGAAGGAGTCATAGTATAATCGTTCCTATCGGACGAATTTATGTTTCGTATGGTCATTGCGCCACCTTGCGGTGGCGTCTCTGTATTACGGGTATCATAACCTCCCTGATTCAAAGATGATAATTGAAGAATTGTAGATATTGAAAGGTGCAAAGATATTCAATAAATACTTTATTGAAAAAAATATGAATAAGAATAAATACCCAAAGGGTAGAAAGAGGAATGAATAATAAAAAAGAATGTAGACTTGATGAATTTTACCGAGTGAAATAGATATTCTCAACAATAATTTTGAAATATAAAATTGGAGGTGGCGGATATATTTATTTATACATAAATTAATACCAACATTAATGATTTTTAGTACTTCGCTAGATTAGGGAGAGGTATTTTTACTGAACTTCAAACTATATATAAACATAAAGGAATGATTGCAAAATCGTTTTGATTGGTGGTTGTGTTTGGCTACTGCGCCACCTTGTGGTGGCGTCCCTATATTAAAGTTGTCATAATCTCCTTGATTAAAATTGTAAACATTAAAAAGCTCAAAAGGAAGACAAAATATACACATTCGTAACCATTTTTTTGGCATGTAAAGTTGGGGGTGACAGATATATTAATTCATATCAAAATCAATATCATTTATAATAATGAATGAATAAAAATAGTGATGAGCCCCAGATTATGAATAATATAACCCAGCCTCACGATCCAATAGTACAAGCTATTTTCGAGGGACTCGTTCATCGACTGGATCCTATATACGTCTTCCTTTCGACCCAGTTTTCATTTAACCGTCAATCCTCCACTCCGCGAACGATCCCCCCCCCCCTTTCGGGCGTTATTTCACTTTTTTTTTCAATTCTCTTGATTCACGCTTGAATGAACGCACCCATATCACTCGCGTTATCAATAATTTAAACGAAATGTGTATTCAGTAATTAATTGGGACAATTGAATTCGTTAGGACGGCAGCAAAGTGCGAGCTGCATAATTTCAGTGGCTCTTCTGCATTTTCATTAACACGTCAAATGTTATTACGCGGGTTACCCTGCTCACCGATGGAACTGGGGCCCGTAAACTTTTATCCCCCGGTCATTAAGCTACATACGTTCTTTTTTCTCATTCCAGTCTGGGCTCTTACTCATCCCTCGCGGCCTCTTCCACATCAGGTTTTCATTGAAGTGCTCAGTTTATTGGATTTTGATGATTTGTTAATTTTCCGATAGGAAAGCTGTTGCGTTGAGGGGCAATTGAGCTGGCATGGAAGGGAGATCAACTACTGTTTGATGTTTATTTTCACGTCATGAACGCTTCACGGAATTTGTACAAGGCATTCGTCTTAAAAAGATGATGTGCTTATTTTTTCATTTTTCTTTATGTCTTTTTTTATTTTTTTATTTTTTTAACGGGAAAACAAGCACACAAACATGAATTCAATGAGTAATTCAAGTTTTTTTATTTTGCTACCGCCTGGAGCAAAATAAAAAACTTGAACTACTGTTATGCAAACATTATAAAATTAAATTTGCAGTGTTTAAACTCGAGTCACCGAGTGACCAAGTTTACCAAAAAAATTCTAAGTATAAAACGGTGATTTTTATATACTAGATTTTTAATGTAAGTAACTGTAAGTATCTGTGAATATCTATGTGTTGTTGAATAAAAATGTGGTTAAACAAAAAAAATGATATGCCTAAAGTAGCTCTATCCTTAGGATGTTATTTTTCAATTACACATTTTGAAAAACTACAAGAAATTACCCTAGAACTCGATGAGATTCACAATCCTAATTTTTTTAGCATTTGATTGTCGTTTTTGTTTTTATAAGGAAAAACATTTGAAAACAAATATTTAACACAGGGTTTTATGTGAAAATATCCAAATGTTGCATATCTTCGTTAAACGAAAAGATTAAAATGTGATGTTTCTTTCACTAAAAATATCAAAAAAAATTATTAAAAATATTGGCGCTTGTTTAATGACGATTTATCGTAAGATTTCATGATTTCCATAATTAATTTCAATAATTAAGACATACAAATAATAACTTTTAGAATTCCTTTATTGTGAAAACACTTCAACTGAAGAAATTAGTTTTATGATATCAGATCGCTTCCTCTGTCAATACACTGAATGAGAAATCAACAGCTGCTTATATATTCTGATAATTTGAATTGAAATGGAATCAATTAATCGATCAAAGCACCGAATGGTGGCAATTATCGTGAATGCCGCGGCATCCACAACCTCTCGAGACACTCGAATGACAATACGGTGGCAGTGGAAACTCAGACATTTACTCAGGATCAACTGGGACTTCTTAGACAAACATCAGTGGCTCTGAAACTCCTCGAGCACTCGAAACTCCTCGAAATGTAACTCACACATACGCCTATGCGCCCGATACCTGAGCAACCGCGTGGGTAAATAGTCCGGGAAGCCTTCGAGTTGAAACTCAAGTCTGTCATCTCGCTGAATTCACCGCGGCTCTATTAGACCGACCAAGATGTAAGTAACTTCGGTTAGTTTTGAATGCACCTATGCTCAACGGGAATGATTCAATTTTGGTCAGGACTCCAACCCCTGAATAATCTGATTTTAAGGATTGAGGATGTGCGAAATCTCTGGTGAATGATATTTTTCGTTGGTTTTTCCCGTCAAATATAAATAAATTTATGGGGAACTTCTTCATGGAGAGAAATATTCAGTAAAAATTACGTATTTTTTCCGTAATTCCAGAGCGAAATGTGGTTGTAGGAAACTTTAGGCAACTATCATGTAATTTTTACCTAAAATCACGGAATTTTTCCAGAGCGTTCCCTAATTTTTACCTGAATCTCCTGTGAGAAATTACGATACCGTCAATTAAATTTTCTGAGTCGATTCCGTAATCGGTGAGCGAACTGTGAGTTCCGTAATTTTTACTGAACATTTCTTTCCGTTTTGGAAATTTTCATCAAGGGACAGGTCCAGAGAAATTTTACAGAATTTCGTCATTATGAATTCACAGTTTTTAATGGAAAAAATTATTCTATGAAAACTGATAGAAATCAGAGAAATTCAAGTGAATATATTTTTCAGCGTTCGAAAGGTGTAATGAATTGAAAATTGATCTAAGTCTAAGAAAAATGATTTATTTGAATGAAATAAACGTTATTTGAATCCAATAAATAGTCCATTGCAATAAAAAAAATTATGTAGTTTAAATAAAGTATATTTAATTTAAATGAACCATTTTTCTGAGTAATTTTTTTGATTCTGAAAAGTTGGAAATTCTATTGAATTTTCAGTTAAATTTGAAGTTTCATCATTTTTGTCCCCTTTAAATTGAGTGTATTGTCACGTTTATATGAAAATTTTGGGTTAAAATTTCATGTACAATTCGTACAATTTTTCATCAACTGGCAGATGCAAAAATTTACGCAATGAAAATTCACAAACTTGAAATAATCTCTTGAATTTTTAAATGATTGAAAATTCTGCGTAATTTGCTACTAGATATTTATTTTTCGATTGAGAATCCACGGAAATTGAGGAATTCTTAGCTTCCTGTTGTAAAAAGACTCGAAATTACATCAAACTTTCCATGAACTCTGAAATTCCCAAGAATTTCATGAATGAAAATTCATAATTTGAAGAAAAAATCAATGGAAACTATTAATTTCAGTTCAATTACTTCAGAAAAACAATAAAAATCGAGAAAGTTCAAGTAAGTATATTCCTAAATTTTCAAATAATTAAAAATCTGCTGCAATTCTATCGAATTTTCGGTGAAATTAGCAATTTCCTGTTATTTTTTTCTTCTAAATCGAATTCACAGTCGCGCTCCTGAAAAAATATTACTATACTGTCCATTAAATTTCATTTTTTTCCGACAGGACATCTGTTATCTAATTGTCCAAGATTTTTTCTTTGATTTTCCTGATGAAAAGAAGAAAGAATGGAATGAAAAAAACAGAAAATGTAAACCGAGGAAATTCCATAAAAAATATCTCAACAGAAACTGTATACAAAAATCCAATTCTTAGCCTTTTTTGAACATCTTAATAGACTCGGCTAAAAATTATAGAAAGTTCAATAGAAATCCAAGAAAAATGTCTAGCAACTTCGCTATATTTTTCAATTAAATTCTTTCGAGCGAAAAAACATTAATTTCGTAATCAAACCAAAACGCCTCACCATACCTGAAACATACGATCCACCTTCTTGCGAACGCCTTCATGATCCATGTTGGGATCGGAAAATTTTCCCATAAGTTCGTACACAGCCGTCACTATATCCGTCATTTCCTCCCGGGTGATGGCACCGTCTCCGTTGATATCATACAGAGAGAAAGTCCAGCGCAGTTTTTCATCCATGGATCCTCTCGACAGTATGCTCAGTCCCGTCACGAAATCCTGAAAAAAACGAAGATTTACATGATCATTAATCCAACTTCATTCATCTTTAGTTAAATTTATCCCTTTAAAATTCAGTTTCAACAACTTCATTTTCTCGCGAGACAATGTGATATTCTCCCTCAATAAAATTTTGAAAATTTAGTGTAAGACTCTCTGGAAACTTAACTCTGCAAAAAGCTAATGCTCCTGTTCATTCGAGTCTCATTAAATTCACACCGTAATCTTCCAACTTTCTGCGTTATGAAAAGATAAAGGCGACATTTTGCCGGCATTACCGGGACGATATTCTGAATCTTGAACTGCTTCGTAATGTTGATCTTATCTGGAAACCCAGAGTTTCTCGCTGGAGCTTTGAATGAACAGTTCTTGAATCAACGGTTTACAATGTTCATACTCATCAAGAATGTTTGCATAAATACGAAAACAACAAAATGGGCAAGATTAAATTATTCAAGGTTTCCATTCCACGACTGTAAGCCGATTTTTGTTTGTTTAAGTACGCAGAATATTTCTCTATTTTTCTAGACGAGAGGAGCTAATTACGTAAATGTGAGGACACGCACGAAAAAATTTAATAAGAAAACCTATCGAATTCGTTAGAAAATTCTATTGAATTTCTATCAAACTTTCTATTAGTTTTTGGCTGATTCTATTGACATGTTCAGTAGAAAACATTTACTAGAAAAATTCAACAGAATTCGATTTTTCTATATAACTTATTCTTTTCATATATTTTCCATAGAATTTGCTCGACTCAAATTTTCTAAGTTTTTTTCATTCTATTTTTATTTTCTTCTCATCAAGAAAATCAAACGAAAAATCTTGGAAAATTTGAGCCGAGGAAATTCTATAGAAAATATCTCGATGGAATAAGTTGGATAGAAAAATTCAATTCTATTGACTTTTTCTACTGAATATTTTCTATTGAACATTTCAATAGAATTGGCCAAAAACTAATAGAACAGTTCAATGTCTGCATTGAAAAAATTATAAGTGATATTGACGTATTTATCTGATGTAAAAAAAATATAATAAATAAACTGCTGAGGCCAAGATTACTTATCCTGATACAAAAAATTGGAAACTTTAGATTTGACGAGTACAACGATTCCAAGCGTAAACTGTCGTGGAGGTATTTACACCGATCACCAATGACTCCGCAACCCGATAATCTCACGATAATTGCTGCACAGTTATCAGCTCCACCATCGCATACTCCCTGCAGGCCTAAACTTTCGTCGTCCAGGTGGTCCTGTGGGCTAATCCCCCTGAGGGACACCCAAGGGCATAACCCAGCCCAGTCCAATGCATCTCCGATTGAGGATAAACCTACAACCCACTCGTCTATGTATTCAAGTAATGGACCCTCCAAAAGGTGAAATCCCTAACTGGGCTAGTGGTGTATCTATTCCACTGTGCTGCAATTATTATGCAAATTTTCCGAGCGCCGGAAGACTGTGGGGAGCAGTGAGTCACTGTTACGCTAGAATTTCGAGGGATCTGTGCCGGCTAAACCCAACCGGCATCATCATGTCGGGACAATGGACCGCATCATTTGACACTTGGATGCAATCCCGTGCCAAAAATGGGTCTAGGTTGCATAGGTCATCGTAATTTTCATCACTGACAGCTGGTGAATGACTGACAGCTAGTTTCATCTTTAAAGTTGGGGTTGATCGCTGCGCCACCTTGCGGTGGCGTCCCTGTACTGTCGTGATCATAACCTCCTCGATTAACAGCTATTGATCAGTGAATCGTGAATATTTTTGAAATGCAGAACTGAAGGGAAGAGATGGGTATAGAGAGTATCAATTTTTGTCATGAACACTAGAAAAACGGATGGTGTGCTAGGAACGAAGGAAATAAGGCGCCATCTACCTTTATTCTGACATTTCGTACACATGAATGTATCATCTTACTACGTCATCTACATCAGATCAAAACTTCAATATTATTTATAAAATTTTGCAACACAGACATAATGTCTTGATCAGTGAAAGATGATTGGCTACTGCGCCACCTTGCGGTGGCTTCCCTCTACTCAGGTTGGCATAACCTCCTCGATTAACAGGTAAGGTCCAACAAATAGTGGATATTTATAAATATACAACTGGTGATAAATTATAATATTATTGTCATAACTTGAGATGATAATCAACGAGATTGAAAGGCATTTATTTCCCCATAATTAAATTTGAATAGATACTGATTTTTATGATACTGTTGTAATTATATGAGACAGTTTGATTTTTTTCGCTTGAAGCGAGCACCTATTCGTAATTGCTACTGCGCCACCTTGTGGTGGCGTCCCTATACGAAGACTTTCATCACCTCCCTGATTCACACCTGACAACGATCGACTAGTCAATATTTTTTAAATACAGAAACGGAGTTGAATGAATGGTAAAAGGAACGAGTGGGCTAAAACAGACTGTCTTCAATTCTCACAAGAGAAGTGGAAAAAAAAAAAATTGATAAATTGAACAGGATCATTGTCTCAATAATAATCAATTCCCGTTCGCTACGCCATCCAAACAACCCTTCCAATCGAAACCAACCTAATAACAAGCATTCGTCCCTCCTTCCGGGGGCATTGTTAGAGTCACTCGTAGAGACAGATCTTGAGTGCGTTGAGGACGCTACCTCGGTAAGAAAAAAGCACGTATCCTGGAGCTGTTGATGCGGCAAATTGCCTCGAGTCACGTAAAAGAGTAAAAGTGCCTCGGGCATCGGGTTGTTAAAGGCGAATAGCGTCCGGAAAATGAAGCAAAGAATAGACGTAGGAAGAGGACAGATGTACGTGTGTTATGTGGATGTATTTAGGTTGAACCAGAAGCCCGGAAACTGGAGAGAATAACTGAAAAATGATGGCTCCGGGGCAGACTCCCGCGGTGCTGGGTGCCTGAAATTTTTATAATACTCTTTGAGTTTTTTTCACGGTACTTGTAGTTCAGAATCTCCTTTTTATTTTATTTCCATCATTGCTGATGCATATTAAACACGGGGTTTGGAGTGGGAAGAGAAATTCTTCTGGCTTGTGAACTGTGAGGGGCGGGCAGGACCGTTTGGGCTTTTAAATTTCAGATGTATCTGCGGAGGGATATTTATTTCTGTTGTCTAATCGTTTTTTATTGCTTTTTTTATTCTGATTCAAATGGATTTTTATTCTGCACAGAATTTCATGAAATTTTCAATGGATGGGGAACTTGATATGCGTTAGTTTTTTTATTTTACAAAATGTTAAATGTATGGAGAACAGGAGGTTTTAGTTTCCAGTAAAAATATTTGAAGATGAGGGGTTTGTTTGAATGAAACGAATGAGTTTATTCAAATAGCTCGTAATAAAAGTTTTATGCACATGAAAGAGTTTTTTTTTTTGGAAATGTAAATAAATGTTCGTTTGATCGAAGTAAATACTTCATCACTTAAGAGGGGGAATGGAACGGATACATTCTGATTTTGCACAGAATTTTATTAACTTTTGAATCGATGTAGGACCTGATCTGCGCTAGTTTCTTTCAATTTCATAAAATATTAAATATATGCAAGCAAAAGTTTTTAGTTTCTGGCGAAAATATTTGAAGCGGAAGGATTTAACCGAATTAAATAAACTCTATTTGAACTAAATCAATGGATTTATTTCAATAACTCGAAACATAAGACTTATTTGAACTTTGTCTATTCACATAAAATAAGTAGTTTAAAAAAAATATAAATAAATATTCTTTTCATCCGAATGAATAGTTTATCCGTTAAAAATGGAATTAAATGGAATGAATGGTTCGTAATTTCCAACGACAATATTATTGAAGTGAATAGAAAAATTAAAAATAAAGTGTTTTATTTATTCCATTCGAATCTCTCATTTCTCCAGGTTTTAAAAATTCCATTTAGTTTCATGCGAATACAAATATTCAGAAATATGCGATTACCCACTTGTTTTCATTTATTTTTTCTGTTTCACAAAGTCCAATAGGTATGCAAGTGAGCTGATAAAAAAAACATGAGGAAAAGTAGAGTTAAAGATGTTGGTAACGGCACGTGCAAGGGGGTGCCAAGCGAAAAGGGAGGAAAACCGAGTTGGTGCGGATGAAAGCGGACGGGGGAGAGGGGGGAGACGTGAGATGGCTCCGGTGGAACCTTGGACGTTGTATAAATTTCAGTTGAACCACTAAGCCCCGGCATATATCGCCACCCAGGAACGCTTAATCTTACTTACATCCCGGAATCTAAACTTTATGCATCAGGGAGAAATTCAGTCTTTCGGTTGCTACACGACCGTTTTCATCGTGTAAATGTCAAAAGTGTCTCGTAAGTTGTCTCGTCAGGCGGCTGATGCGGCTGAATTAATTAACTGGCGCCTCATTAGCTCGCGCTGTTCGAGGATATTCAGGAAACTTGGATTGTATCGGGGTGAATAGATTGAGATGTTAAGCATTGAGTTTGGACATTAAATTGCTTGAGAGAACTGTGAAAAATTCAGAGATAATTAACAACATTCAAATGACTTTTTGTTAAAAACAATTTATTGTCATCTCGAATGATTAATGGAAATTCTTATAAAATTCTTATTCTTCAGACATTACCATTTTTCAATCATTCTACAAAATGTTATCAAGAAGTAAATTTTTTAAAAATTAGTTTAAAATCTAAATTTTAAAAATGTAATTTTCCCTTGAGATTTTTTTCGGTGTCGAGAATGAAATTTTGACCGTTTTCATCGTGTAAATGTCAAAAATATCTCGTAAGTGGCCTCGTGTGGCCTCCTGACGAGACAACTTAATTAAAAATGATTTTTTTGCTACATTTGTTTTTCAAAGTTTCAAAAATTACTATTTTTTAATAGTTTTATAAAATATCATTAAGAAATAGATTTTTTAGTTTTTAGATTTTAAGAATTTGAAAAACATTATTTTCCCTCAATGGAAATAAATAAATGATGAATAAAAAACAAAAATAATGGAATTTTTTATAAACTTTTCAATCTTTAAGCATTA